GTGAAAAAAAGTATTTTCTGATCTGCATTCAGACTTCATCAGTTCTTTCTGTATAGGTGAATAGCATTTTTCATTGTGAGTCCTTTGGGATTTTCTTGGATCACTGTATTGCTGAGAATAGCTAAGTCATTCACAGTTGTTCATCCTACAACGTTCTTGTTACTATGTACAATGATCTCCTGGTTCTGCTCGCTTCACTCTGCATCAATTCATATAAGTCTTTCCAGGTTTTTCTGAAATCCTCCCAGTCATCATTTCTTATGGAACAATAGTATTCCATTACAATCATAAACCACAAATTGTTCAGCCATAACCCAATCGATGGACATCCCCTGAAATTCCAATTCTTCGCCACCACAAAAGAGCTGCTATAAATACCCTTATACAAATAGCCCCCCCCCCCTTTTTAATCTCTTTGAGATACAAACCTAATAGTGCTATTGCTGGATCAAAGGGTATAATACACAGTTTTATAGCCCTTTGGCCATAGTTCCAAATTGCTCTCCAGAATGGTTGGATCAAAAAAAAGGCGGGGGAAGGTAGGTAGAGCAGTAGATAGAGCACTGGCCCTGGAGTCAGGAGGACCTGAGTTCCAATTTGACCTCAGACATATAACACTCACAAGCTGTGTGACTCTGGGCAAATCACTTAACCTGAATTACCTCACACACACAAAAAAATGGTTGGATCAGTTCACAACTCCACCAACAATACATTAGTGTTCCAATTTTCCCAAATCTCCACCAACATTTATCTTTTTCCTTTTCTGTCATATTAGCCAATATGATCAGTGTGAGGTGGAACCTCAGAGCTGTTTTAATTTGCATTTCTCTAATCAGTAGTGATTTAGAGCATTTTTTCATATGACCACAGATAACTCTGATTTCTCTGTCTGTAAACTGTCTGTTCATATCCTTTGACCATTTATCAATTGGAGAATGAAGCATATTCTTACAAATTTGACTCAGTTCTCTATATATTTGAGAGATAAACCCTTTATCAGACACTCACTGTAAGATTTCTTCCTTGGTTTTCTGCTTTCCTTCTAATCTTAGCTGCACTGGTTTTTGTTTATGTAAACACTTTTTAATTTTATATAATCAAAATTATCCATTTTACATTTCATAAAGCTCTTTCTTGCTTGGTCCTAAATTCTTCTCTTATCCACAGATCTGACAGGTAAACTATTCCATGCTCCCCTAATTTGCTTATGGTATCAGCTTTTATATCTAAAGCATGGACCTATTTTGACCTTATCTTGGTACAATGTGAGATGTTGGTCTATACCTAGTTTCTGCCACACTAATGACTGATAGGAAATGTTGAAAAAGGAAAGGTCAACTCAGCTTTCCTAGCTGGGGGTGTGGGGAGGGTGCTTAAGTTCTAATGACTGGTCCTCATCTTGACAGAAATCTCTACATCTGGAGAAGGGAAATTCCTCAGGCCACCACAGCTGGATGGGAACTATCATCACCACAGCTAACATTCCCATGGTGCTCACTGCATGCCAGGCACTGGCTAAGCATTTATAATTATCTTGTTTGATGCTCATGACTCTAGAAGGTAGGTGCTATTATTATCCCCATTTTACTGTTGAAGAAACTGAGGCACAGAGGTGACATGATTAATGTGGTTGCCTAGAATCACACAGATAGTGTTTAAGGTGGGATTTGAACTCAGGTCTTCCTGACCCCAAGCCCAGTGCTCTAACCAGTGCCTCACCTTACCCTAGAACATTGTTCTCCTCTGGCTTGGTGTCTCTGCCTACCAAACAATGCCCAGACCTCTCAAGAGGTGAGTGACCCAACCTAAGGGGATGCTCTGAGCACAGTCCTCAGGTCAAGTCTGTCTTTTGCTGTAAACTAACAAATGTGTATCCTGTTCTTCTATGCCTGGCTAGCCCGAATCTGGGCCAGATCACCCTGGGGTGAACTGGAGAAACTGAGTTTGTGAACCTGTAGAACCAGTGGACCACAGTCCCACAGTGTCCTGAGCGGCTGCTCCCCCGTGGCTCTGGTAGGCGGCCACAGCCGCCTATAGTCACGCTATGCTCCCCGGTGGGTACCCTCCCCCCTTCCATTAGAATGTCAGCTCCCAGAGGGCAGGGCCTGTCTTGCCTGCTTCAAGCATTTAGCACAGTGCCTCAGACATGGAAAGCACTCAATACATTCTGTGTGTGTGTGTGTGTGTGTGTGTGTGTGTGTGTGTATCTCTTTATCTCTTTCTCTGTCTCTTCCCTGTCTCTCTGTCTGTCTCTCTCTCCCTCTCTGTCTCTGTCTCTTTCTCTCTGTCTCTCCCTCTCTGTCCGTCTGTCTGTCTCTCTCTCTGTGACTCTCTCTTTGTCTCTCTGTCTGTCTCTGTCTGTCTCTTCCACCCCCCACCCCCAGCCCTTTTTTTCTCCCCTACTGCTAGACAGCTCTCATTGCCGGGACATCCTCCCTACGTGAAGCCCCGTCTGGCCTCTTTATGACTGCTGCCCTTTACCACTCCTGCTTCTGTTCTCTGGGGCCAAGTAGGACAAGGCTTTTTTGTTGTAACTACTGGGTTTTTGGTTTGTTTTCATCCTTACTGATGTCTTCTGTTTTAACATCACCTGCATTTCCCAATATATTCCTTCCTTCTTCCCCCTGCTAAAGAGCCAAACCTTCTAAGGACGAATGCACAATCAGCCCATATAGCAACCAAGTTTGACATTATCTGCAGGGTTTGAGATAATGACATAATATTTGTAAAAATAAATAAGTTGCCCAGGGTCACATAGTGTCAAAAGCAGGATTTGAACCCAGGTTCATCACTCTATCCATTAGGCTACCCTGTCTTTGTCCCAGCAAACACCTCTGGACATGGACAAAGGAAAGCACTGAGGCTTGGCAACATGGGACTGGTAGAAAGAACATTGTTCTCAGAATTAAGAGGGCTGGGTTTGAAGCCCAGCTCTGACGCTCAGTACCTGTGTGACCTTGGGCGCCTCTGCTACTTTCTCTGAGACCATTTCCTCATCTGTAAAAATGGGGATAAAAAGAGGGACAGCTAGGTAGCGCAGTGGATAGAGCACTGTCCCTGGAGTCAGGAGGACCTGAGTTCAAATCCGGTCTCAGACCAGAGACTTGACACTTACTAGCTGTGTGACCCTGGGCAAGTCACTTAACCTCAATTGCCTTGCCAAAAAAAAAAAAAAATGGGGATAAAAGAAGTCTTGTGCCAACCAGCTCCCGAGAGGCCTGGGGGGGACTTCTCCTTCTTTGGCTCCTGCTGATGAGAATCCCAGAGTTAGAAGGGGCCAGAGGCTGTCTAGCTCAATCTCCTCTAAAGAGGAGATGCCACTGACCGTGGCCACCCAGACTGCACTCGAACACGTCCAAGGAAGGAGAATCCGCTATCTTTCATCCTACTTCTAAACAAGTCTAACTGATGGGAAACTCCCCTTTACAACAAGAATACATCTGCCTCCACCCACTGCTCCTGGCAGAACATCCAGTCCACTCTTTCTTGACCATGGACATACAGAAGAAGCTGTCATGTAGATCTCCTTTCTGCTAAACCACACCTAAGATGTCTTCTTTTTTCCAAGCTAAACATCCCCATTTCCTTCGGCCAGGTCTCGTCTCCGGTCCCCTTGCCATCCTCCTCACCCTCCAGATGCCCACTGGCTTGCCTATGCCCTTCCTAAAATGTGGCTACGGATCCAGGACTCCAGACAGGAGGTGACCGCAGCACTGTCTGTCAGTATTCTTGCCTCCCTCCGCCTGGATGCTTGGCCTCTCCTGATGCAGCCTGAGATCTCCTTAGGGATTTCTGGGGCAGCTACCTCTCCATATTGACTCGTATTAAAGAGCTTTCAGTCTGCTGAAAGCCCTGGATCTTTTCTCCACAGACTCTTATCCACCACACACCCTCAGCCCGTTCTTGTGAAGTAATTACTTGAACCCAAGTATGGGACTTTGCATTTATCTGTTTTCCATTTCATCTTCTTAGATTTGCCTCAACATTCTTGCCCCCGGCTTCAGACTCTCTATCCAACTTGTTCATTATTCTTTGAAGCTTCCTCTTATCTGCAAGTGTGAGAATCAAGCCCTCATTCAAATCTGGGGGAAAATTGCTAAAGAGGGCAAGCCAAGAGCCAATCCCTGGGGTTACTCGACTTCAGCCTGAAGTGCCCACTCCCAATCCAGTTATAAATCAACACTAGAAGGCAAGCTCTTTGTGAACAAGGATTGTTTCCTTCTCTGTATTTGTATCATTAGCGCCTGGCACATAGTAGGTGCTTAATGAAGACTACTTTATTGACTGATTGAACCACCTTTTTCCATTTTAAAATGTTTAATTGATGTATTTTTTAAAGACAAAAATGAGAGAAATAGGAAAAATCAACATAACTAATCGATATGTTGAAAAAGTCTGAAACCATGTGCTCCATATAATGCTTGTGGGGCAGCTAGGTGGCGCTGCAGTCAGGTCTGGATTCAGGAGGACCTAAGTTCAAATCCAGCCTCAGACATCTACTAGCTGTGTGACCCTGGGCAAGCCACTTAATCCTGTTTGCCTCAGTTTCCTCATCTGAAACAAGAAGGAAATGGCAAACCACTCGAGTAACACTACCAAGAAAACCCCAAATTGGGTCACGACTGAATAATAACATAATGCTTGTGGGTCTCTCATCTAAACAAAGGCCTGGGGGTGACTCTCTTCTTTTACATCTGCTTGTTGATTGAACCACTTCCAAATCAGTGACTATAAATCCCATAAAAAACTCTAAAGCCTACATCACTCCCTCTCGTCTACCAAGATGGCATCAGAGACCTTGTGAAACGCTTTGCTGAAATCCAGGTATCACGGGGAGGTCCCAGCTCCTGCAGTGGGCTGCCCAGGGCAGACGTCAGCAGTCACCGGCGAGCACAGGTCCAGGGTGGGAGGCACAGGGGCCACCATTTATCATGTCCCCCCAGGGAAACACAATCTGCAAACCTCATCCAAAGAACTGAGAAAGACGAGGGACTCACCTGACCGTCTGATCCCAGTCGCACCAGAGCTCCTTCACGATCTCCTCCATTTCCAGTTTAAACTTGGCGAGGCAGAGTTCGTTCATGAGTTGGCCAAAGTCTGCTTCTGGGCAGGCAGTGACCGTTACCAAGTGGCGAGCTGAAACAGAGAAATGGAAAAGGGAGGTTTCTCACTGGGAGAAGCAGAGCAGAGTGGAAAGAGCGGCAGGCCCAGATGCAGGAGAGACCTGGGTTCAAATATCACCTGGGCCACTCTCTGAGGCTCAGTTTCCTCATCTGTGAAATGAGCCTTGATGAGAAGTACTATGATAAAAGAGAGAGGGCTGACCTCGGAGGCAGGAATATCTGGGTTCAAATCCTGCCTCTGAACACATGCCGGCTGTGTCACCATCACAGTGATCCAGGTTACAAATTATACACTAATGTACATTAGTGGAGGGAGGTTTCTATGTAGGTGAAATCATGGGTCTGAATTTTAAACACACACACACACACACACACACACACACACACACAGAGTCTCCATTCTTGTTAATACTTTCCAGTTTAACCTGGGGTGGTAGAAAGAGCTCTGGAGCCTGAAGACTTGAGTTCAAATCCTATCTCTAATTCTTATAACTTGTATGACATTGGCCACCTCACTCCATTTCTCTGAACCTCAGTTTCGTCTTCTATGACTCTGTAAGCCTGGAGAGCAGGGATAGGAACGGGGAAGGGACTCCCTGCTTTGACCCCCACTCCATTCCAATTTCTGAAAGAAAAGATTTTCAACTATTTGCTGCTGGGGCTCCAAAGCCTCCCTTCGGAGAACAGAGAAGAATAAGGAATCATCATATTAGCAATGAGGGGCATTTCTGTGGTCCTCAGCCACTTTCAAGGGGCTCTACCAATTCCCATCTCAGCTGGGCCTCCCGACAACCCTGAGGGAGACAGGTGCAGGGGTATTCGGGTCCCCACTTTACAGTTGAGGAAACTGAGGTCCTGAGAGGGGAGATGTCACACAGCCGCTCAGCCTCTGAGCCCAGCACCATCTTTTTGCGACCCTGCGCTGGGTCAATGAGCTGTGACAGGCGAGGTCATACTAAGCAGCCTGGAAGGTGAGGAAGCACCCAAGACAGCTGGAGCACCCACAACGCCCCATGGGAACTCATCTGAGTTTCTGAGTCCTCAGAGAGTGGCCTCAGGCACAAAGAGGCCAGGACAGCCTGACTCCAATTAGAATAAGAAGATCTAGCATCTTGAACCTGCTGAGTTTGTGATAGCAGCAGGTGTCAGGTGGATGGAAAGTGTTTTATGGTTAGCAAAATAACTTACACATATTATCCCATTTGATCCTCATAACAGCCCTGTGAGATGTGCTGTGGTTATTATTATTATTATCATTAATTATCCCCATGTTACAGATGAGGAAAAGGAAGCAAGACAGCTGAAGTGTCCTAGCTGGAGCCATATAATGAATGTCTGAGTCAGAATTCTAACCCGGGTCCTACTGATGCCAAGGCCAGCTCTCTAGTGACTCAGCCACCTGGTGGCGGGATAGAGATTTAAAAAAACAAAACAAAATAGACTGACTAGGTGCTTGCCCTCAGGGAGCTTACAGTCTAGCTAGCCATGTACACAGAAAACTGGGCCAGGTGGTGGGTTGTGACGTAGGCACCCAAGGCCAGTCCACACCTGGACCTGCTCTGCAAGTCATCTGAGATAGTTGTCTGGGGCACTGAGAAGTTTAGTGACCTGCCCAAGGTCACACAGCCAGTATGTATCAGGGGCAGGATTTGAACCCAGGTCTTCCTAACTCCAAGGCCTCTCTCCATTCACTAACCCACAACTGTCCCTCTCTCTGCCTCTTTTTGAATCTTCTTTGCAAGCTTGGTGCTGGACTTATTCCTCCCCCTAGCATGGGAATGCTAAGGAGGCTTGAGAGTTTCCTGTATTCTGAAGGATTCTATTTGAACAGAGATAAGGGGGAGGGGAGATAGGGTGGGTCAAGTGGAGACAGCCACAGCTGAGGCCGGCCCCCCCCCCCCCCCCCCCCCGCTGGCTGGACCAGGGGCAGCTCTTCTCAGGGCTTCTCTGGAGGGCAGGCTCTCAGTGGGCTTCGAGCCACGCTGAGCTGGCAGGGTTTGACTGGAAAGCTTATGGACCACGACACACGTGGGATACTCGGGGAACAGATGCTTCAGAGCAGAACCTTCAGGCAGCCTCCAGGCCCTGACATGCAGTCACAGAAAGACGGCTCGTCCGTCCCCCAGTCCACGGGCATTCCTTTGACGCTGGCATCCTTTGCCTTCCTGGGCTCCTGGCCCTTTTGGCAGGCAGGCCGTCTGGTGCCGCCTAGGGACCCCTTCTCAGAATCATGTTTGTAAACGCAGAAAATAAAACACACAGAATTGCAAAGGAAACCAATTACACTGAAATGCAGTTATTGGAATATTTAAAAGCAAGTTCACAGCTGCTGCATTGAGAATTCCTTAGAGTCTAACCCAGATGTGGGGACCCTGCAGCCTCGAGACCACATGTGGCCCTCTAGAACAGGTCCTTAAATGCGGTCTTTTGACTGAGTCCAAGTTTTACAGAACAAATTCCCTTAATAAAAGGATTTGTTCTGTGAAGTTTGGACTCAGTCAAAGGACCACTCTTGAGGACCTGTCCTAGAGGGCCACATGTGGCCTCCAGGCCACAGGTTCAGCACCCCTAGTCTAACCACAATCAATGCCAAGGACCCAGAGGCTCTATCCTAATAATGCAGAGCTTTATGGTGAGAAAATCCTTTGATATTCATCATCTCACTAGAACCATAAAGCTACCCTTTGAGGTCAAGAGGGCAAGGGCTTTACCTCCACTGGCCCTAGTTAGAAGGCTGGCCTTCCCCTGAGAGCATTCCCTCTGGGGCATGGAGGGGCTAAGAGACATTTCTCTCAATGTCAAAAGCAAAATGGGCCTAGGGGTTCCTCTCTCTGCCATCTTCTTGGGAGAGGGAGGGCAAGTCCCAATGGGCTCATGCACGTAAAGCTAGAAGTGACCTTAGAGGTTATAGGATCAGAAAAGATGACAACTCAAAGGTGGAAGGGGCCTCAGAGCCCCCTCCAGTCTAATCTCCTCATGTCGAAGATGAGGAAACTGAGGCCCAGAAAAGTTCAAGGACTGATCACAGCAGGAGCCCATAATCACAAAGTCAAGTGACCAGCCCAAAGTCATAGAGCTAAGGAGTCGAACTGGAGTAGAAATGCAGAGATACTCCCTCCTGCATTTCTCCATTTCCTCAGCACGGAAAGACGTGTTCAGGCCCGTCTCAGACTGCTGCCTTCTTGTCTTCTCAAGTGAGACGACATTTATAGCTTCCATCACACCCTGAGCGCTAGCTGTGGATCGCCAAGGGCTTTTCACACAGTTGTCTGGGAGTGACGGGGTTGTGTTCCTAGCAGCGAGCTGGGAATTCAGTCACTGCTGGGGCTTGCCTGAGAGGAGCTGCCATGGGCCCAGGTGCGTGAGCACCAGCATGCTACCCCGCAGGTCACGGCAAGAAAACGTCTTTATGTTGTATCGAGTTAAGCAAACCAGGCTTCCCAGGCCGGCCCCCACGTCCACAGGTGCCTTCCTCTCCTGGCCCTGCCCAACTCTTTCCAAGCTGATGTTCAAAAATGAATGAAATCAAAAGAATGCTGACATTCACGAAACCCCGGAACTCCAAAGTAGCCGGAGAGCTTCGCCAAAGCCACTGTCTGTCGAGGGCAAGGGACCGTAGGCTCAGAGACCTGGAACATCCAGGCCGACCCCTTCATTTTACAGATGAAGAAACTGAGGCCCAGAGCAGTCACACCACGGTAGTCAGTGGCAGAAGTGCTGCATTCTACCCTTCTGACTCTGAGCTTCAGAAATGCCAGGCAGTCAGTGGGCCAGCCCTCCCACACAGCTGGATGGAGATATGACACCCATAGGAGCCCGCCAGTCTCAGGCATCCAAGCCATCCCTGGGTATTCACAAGACTGGCCTGGACATACTGACCAAGTGGAGGCAGCATGGCAGCATGAGGGGGGTGTTGTGGCTAGCCCTGGATTCAAATCTTGCCTCAGGATATTTTCTAGCTGAGTGACCCTGGATAAATCACTTTAACGTGATCCACACTGACACCATGAGCTTCAGCTTGCTCTTCTGTTAAATGGGCATAGTTCTTACATTGCCCACTTCACAGTGTTGTCAAGGGAGAACCAGGGATGTCTATGTGAGATGGGTAATACAAAGATTGTCCCCCTTTAACAGAAGAGGAAACTGAGGCTGAGAGCGGTAAAGGAGCGTCCAATTCAACAAGCACTTACTAAAAACCTACCAAGTGCCAGACACTGTGCTAAGAGTTAGAGAGATAAGATAAGATGAAAAAGTGCCTGCCCTCAAGAAGTTTACATTCTCTGGAAGGAAGCATATATACCAGTAAATAAACGCAAGATCAAGACGCTGCCACAAGCTAGATACAATGTAATACAAAGTAACTTAGAGGTGGGGGGTAAATAAAGCTGGCAAAGTGTTTTATATACGTTCATATATGCTCTCTCTTTTGATCCTTCTTACAACTGTAATTGCTATCGATCCCATTTTACAGGTGAGGAAACTGAGGCTTAGAGAAGGGACCAAGCATTTATTAAGTACCTACTGTATACTAAGCACTTTATATATATTATCTCACTTGGTCCTTGCAACAACGCTGGGGGTTAGATACTATTATTATTTGTATTTTATAGTTGGGAAAATCAAGGCAGATTGAGGTTTGAATTGATTTACCCAGGGTCACACAGTGTCTGAGGCTGGATTTGAACTTGAGCCTTCCTGATCCCAAGTCCAACACTCCATCCACTGCACCACCTAGCTGCCATAAGAGCAGTATTTCAGGGGTAAGGGAGGAATGGAGGTTGTCATGTTTGTGATGCTTAATTTGTGCTCTGAAAGGAGCTAGGGATTCCAAGAATCTTGGCGGAAGGAGACAAGCGCATTCCAGGAACAAGGCAGTGTCTGTGGAGGCGCTGAGTCTGGCTGGAGCGCAGAGCGCGTAGATGGGTCCAAGAAGACAGGCTGGAGGCAGATGGAGTGGGCTACGTTTTCTCCTCCAGGCAGGAGGGAGCCATTGAGGCTTCTTGAGCAGGGGAA